AAAAAAAAAAAAAGAATAAAAGCTTCTATTATGTATTCATTTTATGAAGAACGGTTTTGCCATATAGCTTAGGCTGCTTTCAAACTCTCAGGAGGCCTCTTGCTTCAGCCTCCCAAGTGCTTGCGGTTGCAGGCATGTGCCATCAAGCCCAGCTGGAAAAGCTAAATTTTATTGGATGCTGAGGCAGATATGAAACCGCAACCATTCCATAATTTCAGATTTAAAAGATTATCAAAACATTTTTTAGTTCTCACTGGTTAACTTTACAATTCATTAACCACGTGACATAATAAAATATATATATTTGGCCTCTGACCTAGGTGTGTGTTTGTGGTTTTGTTTGCAGAACCGGGGTTTGAACTCAGGCCCTTGCGCTTGCCAGGGAAGCACTTATTCCACTGAGCCATCTCCCCGGCCCCTGACCTAGGTTCTTGACACAGCTTCTAAATTTATTCTAATTTCCTGAGTGATAGGGTGTTAAGAGCATCTTTATTCTTGCAATTGGTGTTTGGCCTGGTTTTGGGGAGGGAGTCATTTCTGTTTGTTTGTTTGATACTTGGGACCTTGCGCTTAGGCAGGTGTTTATGCTGCCGAGCTACATCCCTGGCCCTTTGGCCTGGTTCTGACACAGCTATTAAGTCCCTTGGGTTTTCTTGAATGCTAGAATTTTTATTTATTTTTATTTTATTTTTAAATGCTGTGACTTTCGGTGGGCTCTGAATAGCTTCAGAATGAGGACTGGTCACCAGAAAGACTAAGCTGTGATTAATTAGCAATTTGGAATTGTCAGTGCCACTGCCCGTCTTCCCAGAAAATTGGAATAATAATCAGTCATGCCTGTCTATTGAAACCTGCAGAGCTTCCAGGTTGGTGAAAGCATCTATGTGCCAGGAATGCATTCCAACCCTGTAGGTTTAACAACTCTTATATTCTTTTTTTCTTTTTATATTTTATTTATTTATTTATTTATTTATTTATTTGAGAGAGAGAGAGAGAGAGAGAGAGAGAGAGAGAGAGAGAGAGAGAGAGAGAGAGAGAGAGACAGACCAGCTCAGCCCACCAGGGGGCAGGGCTGGCTGGCATGTGGTGCTGGGGGATTGAACCGAGGTCCCTGATGCTTTTGCCAAGCTTGTTCTAAGTAGGTGCTTTAGACCACTGAGCCATCTCTCCAGCCCCAACAACTCTTATATTCAAGACCCTGATAGGTCTCAGTCTGTGTACCTCTTCCTGTGGTTATTTGCTCATCTTTTATTATTCCAGTAAACATGAGAGCTCACCCCCCCACCCCACCCCGTGTTCTCAGTCATTTTGGTGAATTCTTAAATTTCAGGGGCAGTTGTAGGAATCTGTATTATATGTCCAAATCAGTTAGAAGGATGGATAACTTAGTGTCCTGCCACTTGTTTATTGGCTTCTCAAATTAGGGGCAGCTTTGTGAAACAGAACCCTTAGCTTGTGTGATCTGAAGGTAGATAGTGCCACATTCTGTTAAATAGTAGGACCCTCCCCCGCAGTTGTTATCCACAGAGTTAGAGAATTGCTTGCTTGGGGAAACACATACATTTCTGTCAGAAATGGTGGGAAAAAAGGAAACAATGGTTTGTTTTGTTTTAGTTTGTTTTGTTTTGAGACAGGGTCTCATAGCAATCATCCTGCATCAGTCTTCTGAGTCCTGATATTATAGGCATGCACCATCACACCCAGCTTGTGGAAACAATTTTCCTTTGTTTGTTTATATTCACACTTCATCATATTTTAATTAGTCAGTTATTCCTTGTATCAGATTTGTGGGTTTTTTGTTTTTTTCGTTTGGTTTGGTTTGGTTTGGTTTGGTTTTGGCGGAACCGGGGATTGAACTCAGGCCCTTGTGCTTGCCAGGGGAGCGCATATAACACTGAGCCACCTTCCCTGCCCAGATTTGTGGTTTTTATAGCTCTGTCCATTAAAAAGGTAAAATCTACTTTCTACTTGTCTCAACACCATTTGCTTAAAAGATTGTTCTTTTCACCACAGAATTGTTTTGGCACCCATGTAAAAATCCATTGTTTGTGTAAGGGTTTATTTCTGGAACTCTGTTCCTGTAACAGTAACCATATAGATTAGATAGATGTACATGATCTATAGCTATATTCCAGTACCATACTATCTTAATTACTGTAGTTTTCTGGTGAGTTTCTAGATCAAGATATGTGAGCCCTCCCACCTTTGCTGCCCACTCCCAAA